GAAGTCGGGCACTGATTCTTTTAAAAACATAAATTCAGCGATTTTTCTTTCAAATTTTCACAAAAATAGAAGAATTAAGGCGATTTTCTCAAGAGATTTTCTTCCCAAATCACAAGTAAGTATTCATTAACTGATTTCTTTCAACTATCTAATGTTTTTCATCAACTTTTATCAATAATCTTAGGGTTTTAATGGTAGATAATTGGGGAATTGGGTAGAGTTAGGGTTTTTTGATTATTTGGGAATTTGACCTTGTTTTGGGGTCGTATTTCAAAACAAATTATATATTCGGGCTCGTGGGTGAATGGGTGATTGGATTTTGGTCCAAACCTCGTGTTTTGACCAAGCCGGCCCGGGGTCAATTTTTTGGGTTTTTGGAAAGAATGATTGGAAAGTTATAATTAAGCATTGGAGTTGGATTGTTTAGCATTTATTGATGTTATTAAGTCGATCATGTATAGATACGATTGTGTTGGAGCCAAGTTCGAAAGGAAAGGTGGTATTTGAGGATTGAGTTGGCCGTGGAAGTTCGAGGTAAGTGTCCGGTCTAACCTTAGCTTGAGGGATAAGGAGTTGTGTCCCATTTGCTAATTGCTTCTTGTTGAGTACGACGTATAGGCATGGTGACGAGTATCTATACGTTGGTGTTGAGCATGACCGTGAGTCTTGAAGTGATAGATGTTGTGTTCCTAAATGTCACTACGAATGCTTTAATTGATGATTCTGGATATTGAGCAAAGATTTAGTTTATTTTCATGGATTTTATTTATGATTGAGTGTTGGGACTAATTGAGCTGAGTAGGAGTTGCGTTAGGATTGGTTATAGCCGATTCTCCCTTGCCGGGATGTTTGTCTTGATATTGTTGTTCCCTTGCCGGGAAGTTATTATATTGCTTTTGTTCCCTTGCCGGGATTCCTTGTAATTTGGTGTTGGCTTGTAAATGGGAGCGGGTGGTACGCCTACCACAAGATATAATGAAATGGGATCGGGTGGTACGCCTACCACGAGATATAATAAAATGGGATCGGGTGGTACGCCTACCACGAGACTTAATGAAATGGGAGCGGGTGGTATACCTACCACAAGATATAATGAAATGGGAGCGGGTGGTACGCCTACCATAAGATATGAGAAATGGGATCGGGTTGCACGCCTGCAACGAGATGTAAACCGAGAGTGAAATCTGCCTTTGTTTTCCTTATCCTTGTTAGAAGTTGAATTTTGGTTTCCTGATAATTCTCTTGAGATTCTGTTTTATCTGTTATTCCCCGAAGCATGTTTCCCCGTCCCAGCTTTAATTGTTTGTTCTAGTTTATTTTTCCGCTATATATATATATATATAACTGCACATGTTTATTTGGAGTTTGATCCTAGCCTCGTCACTACCTCGCTAGGGTTAGGCCAGGCACTTACCAGCACATGGGGTCGGTTGTGTTGATGCTACACTCTGCACTCTATGCAGATACCGGAGCAGTACTGGGACAACAGCAGTAGCTTTGGAGCCAGCCTTCGGTCCACAGAGATCCCGAGGTAGTCCTGTAGGCATCCGCAGGCCCGGCGTCTCTTCTATCTACTATTATGTTCTGTTATCACTTGTATCCGAGATAGACTGAGTTTCTTTCTTTCTTTCAGACATTTGTATGTAGTAATCATAGACAGTCCGTGAATGTTGCGACACCGATTTCTGGGTAGAGACATATGTTGGCTTTTCGTATCGATTTTGGTATTATGTTTATCTAAGTCTTCCGCTTAAATCCATCTTTTGCTATTATTAAAATGTTGATCACCTGTTATTACAAGTTATTAAAAAGCATTAAAAATGAAAGAGTTAGACTTTCTGTATTTCGTGGCTTGCCTAACTTCTTCGAGTAGGCGCCATTACGACTACCGAGGGTGGGAAATCTGGGTTGTGACAGTATGACTCCCCTCCCTTTAAATTCATGAACTCCCTTGTGTAATTCAAGCATGCCTGGACAACTGTTTTTTAACCTACTATGTGCTTACCATTCTTATGAACCCCAAATCCCTATCCCCCCCCCAATGTGTTTATATTCTCCCTGATTAGTTTGTGATTATGCCAGTTTCAATCATTGCTAAGCATGTCCAAACCAGTCCAAATACCCTTGCCAGGGTTATATGTTTGCGGTCAAATGCCTGTGTATCCCTAAGCCCTTTGACCCCTTGTGTGACTATTGAACTAATTTGGATTCTGTGTGTGATCCTATCCTGAGTTCCTGATCTGGTTTATCACTCCAACCTTTTCAAACAATCTCTATTACTTTACTAATTGCTTTCAAATAGACTTTTAAGTCCTGTCTTTACTAAACCTCTTTCAACATGTGTCCTGCACTTTCACTTTACTCTTAGTTAAATAAGTTTTGCCCCCTCTAGTATGTGTACTGCCTTGGGATCCTCTTGAGAACCCTCTGAACTCTGGCATACTGAGGCTGGCCTTTCCACACTGCACTGGTTCAATGCTTGGCTACTAAGTCTAGGTGTAAGCATTGCCCGGGGTCCTTGAGACCCTTAGGGAACTTTGATGCACCTAGACTCTGATTTGTCTATGGAAATGAGGTTTGAAAGACCATTGGAGGCTTTGGGAAACTTGGGCCTGATTGCAGGCTCTCTATGGAATAGCTTCTTGATTTTCTATTTTACTTATGTAATTCATTTAATGGCCTGTAATAATTTGTAAACAGATATTTGGGGTATTTAGTAAACGGGTGGGTAGATGTATGCTTTGTGGGGTAATATGAGTAGAAATCCTGCTCTTAGGATTTATTTTCAAATCTGCCTGCTTCACTCAATAGAAAACATGTCTATAGGGTTTTATTCGTGTTGAATCTGATTGCGTTTGCATAATAGAATCATGCCTATAGGGTTCTACTTTTAATTTCATTCGCATCATAATAGAAATCATGCCTATAAGGACTTCACTTTTAATGTCGTTTGCATCAGATATAAACCATGTTCATAAATCCTGCATTTGTCATGTTAGAAACCATATTTCTAGGTTCCAAGCCATCATGTTTTAAATCAATTCAAGAATAGATACGATGCCTATAGGACATAATTCCGATTCAGTAAGATTTTCACATGTTAATGCAAATTGACTAAAACCAGTAATACGCCTAGACACCATGCCTATAGGGATTTCTATTCGCAGCAATGTCTGAAAATCTAATTAGCCTAATAAGTCGATCTCATTTCGCTTAGTTTACTTCTTAAAACTGGCCTTATTAAGCGATAACATTTCTAAAACTAGTCCTTTCATAATTGATGTAATCTCATTAGATATCCTGCCTACAGGTATTAAAAAGGTCTATTTCGAAACTTGTTTGTTTCTGCATTAACATTGACACAATACTGCATATAGGCAAGCCTTAGGGTATTTTCAAAACCTACATTTCTCTGAAGCTATTTCTGTCATTCAACGTCTCTGATTCAAATAAGCTTTTAAAGAGAGGTCCTAGACAACTAATAGGTTATGACTTCTGTCTCTGAAAGTGGTTTATTTCTGTATAATCACTTAGAAATCCTGCTTTAGGGCTTTGATTAATAAAGACCTTACTTTTGTCTGAGTCGTGCTGCCTGTATGTTTGTTTGAGGAGGAATTATGAGCCCTTTACTTGCTCCCATTATGTGAAAGTCCTAGATGCTTTTGACTGTCGCCTTAGATTTTTGCCTTTAAAACCTTAGGGGTACATCTAGAACCGCCTATAGGTAGGAGTCCTAACTCCCTCCGGGACCACTAAGAAGGGACGGGTAGCAGCACGCAATAGGAATCAGTGACCAACACTCGCTTTGCATGACCAATAAGGGGTTGGGAAGGGTAGACATGGGATATGATGACTACGAGTTAATGTCACGTGTAGCCCCTCATTGAGGAGTGTTTACCGGACATTGCGTGGGGTGATCCTATGGGATAAACAACCTAGGACCCTCCTTACCCCAAATCCTTTCCTTATTTATTTGTTTTATATAATTTGTTCAAACCTTTATTTCACTACTTGACTTGTTCAATGAGCTTTATAACTTATTTGATTCAACTATTTGTATGGACTAATTTGTAAATATAAGTTCGGTCGGGACCCACAGTTGTGGACCAAGAGGGGTGCCTGACACCTTCCCCTCGAGGTTATCTCGAGCCCTTACCCTAATCTCTGGTAATGCAAACCAACCCAAGAGTTAATTGCTCTAGGTGCCCTAGCGCACCATAATCCGTTAGGTGGCGACTCTTCAAATACCCAATTCCCAAGAGGAAACGAGTCATTACACCCCATGAATGTCGAAACCCGAACTTTCTCCGCGGAGGAAAAAAAGGGGGCGCGACACCCGATACCGCATAATATAGTTGAACAAGACATAAAGAAGCAAAAATTGGGGAAACGAGGCTGCAATTCATAAAACGACCGGCCGGGTCGTTACAGTACGACAATATCTTTATTCTCCGTTGAATTGAGTTTTTGATAGATTTTATATAATACTTGTTTGATGTTGTTAGATCGGGACGGAGAACGAAACTCCGACTAAGATCCTTGCTCCGGTGAAACTCCATTGTTGTTGACCGTTTTGACTGTTCGTAAGTTCTTCACGTAATCATGCTCGTTGCTCCCTCTAGTTGTAGCTTTGTTTTTGTTATTAAGCATATCTGCTTTTGATTCTGAGTTGATTTTGCGTTGTGTTGGATTTTCGCTCCGGCCTTTCACTATTGAAACGACGTCTCCCCTTGTGCGTGCGAGAAGAGGTTTTAAGACGAAGGATTAATTAGATGTAATTGGTTGTGTAATGTCCAATCAAAAGATTATACTCTTACCTGTTAATCAATTTTAAAATTATTTTTGTAACTTTCACTTGCCCTTAAGAGAGTGTGCACACTCTCTATGCCACATCAGCATTTAGGGTGGTGTTTATTATACTTTAAAAGAGATCGGGGGTAAAAGGACATACGTAAAGGTAAAGTGTGTCGCTGGAACTTCAGATATAGTTCAAGGGGTACTTATGCATTTTCCCTAATGTCAATGGTGCCCAAAATTGTACACTCCCTGTAGAACTGCTTGCCAAAGTGTGCGTATAAGGTGTCCTGGAAACCGTCAAATTTACACCTATAGAAGGTGCATGAATCCGCAGTTGCTCTTAAAGCTACTGACTGTTGCACCTGAGCTCTAGAAATGTTTCGAAATGTGATGTCTTGCGCCATGAATCCTTGCCCATTCACCACTTTTGAAAGAGAAACCAAATTAAACATTCATAAGATCAATGGATCTTGTGTTCATTTCATCCCAATTATGAAACAGATAAATATTCATCAAACGTGATATGCAGTTTTTCTCAGGCACTTTGATGTGATAGTCTACTGAATTAATTTCACGATATGGATGAGAATAAATGCTACTGTCACGACCCAATTTCACCTCAGGTCGTGATGGCGCCCAACACCGTTGTCAGGCAAGCCAACGCGTAAATATTAATGAATTCTTATTTTACTTACCAAAAGCAGTTACGACACTTTCCTTAATTTGCAATTAAAACAGGTGATAATAAGCAACATTCAATAACAGTTATACAACCCAAAAGAACTGTCTACTAATGTGTGTGCCAAGACCTGGTATCACAAGCTGTGGGCAACTAGTAGAATATACTGAGATATAGATCTACCCTACTATCTGAAACAGAATAGACAGTCAGAAGTAAGAGAAACTCCATCAAGCTGCTGGTCGGCACAGGAAGGGAAGCACCTCACCGTGGAAGCCTCGGACTAAAATCAGGGACGCGCTCCGGTCTGATAGCCAGATATACCTGCCTCAGAGCCTGTACAGTTAAGTATAGAAGCGTAGTATGAGTACATAAATAATATGTACCTAGTAAGTATCCCGTCTAATCTCGAAGCAGTAGAGACGAGAAGTCGACTTGATACATACTAAGGTCAAATAATATAATATGATGTTATGCCAAGCATGAAGGTCACAATTAGATAACAGTTGAAATAAGGATTTCTAAGTCATGTCATTTTAAAATCACAGTTAATCATTTACATTTCAAACCATTTATCGGGCAAGTGATCAATAATAATTCACATAAATATCATGCGCACATTATGCCGAGGTCGATGGCCTGATCCAACAGAAAAGAAACTGTGCACTGCCAGAGGGTCAAATGGCGCGAACCATAGATGCATCTATTGCTACCGAGGCGATCGGCCCGATCCACAAATATCAATTATCAACAGGAAGATACAAGAAGGCGCATTTATATTCAAATAAACTCATACAAGTGCTCAACAATACATATGTTCACTTATGATCATTTCCAATTCTCTAGCATATCCTAAATGATCACATTAGCATGAAGACATATAACATTTGCAAATATAGCATGATATGGGTCCTAAACTACCCGGACAATTAACATGATAGTAGCTACGCACGGACTCTCGTCATCTAGTGCGTACGTAGCCCCCGCATTTAGTGGCAAATTATACAGTTATTACTCCTATGGGGACAATTTCCTCTTACAAGGTTAGAAAGGAGACTCACCTCGCTCCAAAGTGCATTTCCAATACCAAGAACGAGCCTGAACTCTCAATTTGGAGCCGAACGATCCAAAACTAGTTAAATGGGGTAAGAACTAGACAATACAAGCTCACAAGATCACGTTCCAACTATTAACGCAATTTCCCAACCTTAAATACAAGTTTCCTAAAATTCGACCCCGGGCCCACGTGCCCGGATTCCAAAATTTTTTGAAGGAAGTTGTTCTTTGTAACCTAAGGATCAATAATATATGATTTCTACTTCGCTTCATAACCAATTTCGGGGAAAAATCTAAGTTTTATCAAAACCCTAGGTTTTGCTCTAACCCCATGATTTTACCTTAATCTTAGTGTTTAATCTACCTAAGACACAAGTATTAAACTAGGAATAGGTAGGATAAACTTACCTCAAGATGCTAGGTGGAAATCTTATCTTAAAAGCTCCAAATCGCCCAATGGAGAAGTGAAAAATGGCAAAAATAACTTAGAATCCGTATTAAATGAAGCTCACTGCTTCAGCAATTTCCGCATCTGCGGTCCTAGGCCGCACGTGCGGCCACCGCATCTGCGGAAGGGAGCCCGCTTCTGCGGAATTTTACCTGGGCCGCTAGGCTGCATCTGCGAGTTGCCAACCACTTTTGCGGCTTCGCTTCTGCGGAGGAATAGCCACTTCTGAGGCTTAGGGCCTGGCCTGGCTTGGCCGCACTTGCGTGAGATGGACCGCTTCTGCGGTTTCGCACCTGCGGCTGGCCAACCGCAGGTGCAGTTTTGACAGCAACTTAAGCTTCAACACTTCTCCAATTTTTCCAACTTCACTCGAGCCTTGTCCGATTAACGCTCGGGGCTAGGGGTGGGCATAAAATCCGAAAAATCGAATTCCGAACCGGACCGAGTTAATTCGGTATTTCGGTTTCGGTTTTTTCCGGTATTTCGGTCTAATTCGGTATTGCATTTTCGGTATTTCGGTACGGTACTCGGTATTAGAATTTTGAAATTTCGATATACCGAAATACCAAATTACCGAATTTTTAAAGATATTTTTTTAAGTTGGACCTATATATCACTGCCCAGCCCCAGCGCCCAAGCCCAAACGTTTTTAATTTAATTCCCAGCGCCCCAATCCATCGCCCCAGCCTAACTGCCCAAGCCCAACAACAACATATTTCGTTGTCTTTGTTTCCGGGCACTGTCATCAATGTTCAGATGTCGTGGAATCAATTGGGTGTGAGGATGTCACTACAGTTTCCTCGTTGAATCAATTGGGTCGTTGAATCATTTTTACTGAAAATGAGAAGCTAAGAGATCAGCTTCTTTAGCTCGTAAGACGGCGCGGAGAATCGAACAACCGCCAAACTCGAATAGGGATCAGCTCGGAAAATTACAGTTTTTAAGTATACTGTAGCGAGTGTTTAATTACAGATAATATACAGTTAAGCAGTTTTTGTATGCAGCTGGTTTGGACGCCGGGGAAGCTAGTACGATGATATTATTAGAAGGCGCTTTATATTTTTTATGTATTTGTTGTAGTTTTAGTTGATTTTCAATTTGTAATGCAAGTTGTAAAAAATCAAAAGTTTCTGTTTTGAAGTTCTTTCTTCTCCTCTGTTTGATTCAGAATTGATCGATAGTACTTTGTTCATATACTACTCATTTTTAGTGCTTGTTTTCATTTGCAGATTAGGAGTGTGTGTGAACTAATCAACTAATAGAGAAAAGTTGCATCAATCCAGGAAGGTAGAAGCCATAATATTAAACCGAAACCGTACTGAAACCGTACCGAACCAAAATAATAAATGCCGAACAGTACCGAAATATTTTGGCATGGTATTTGGTATACACAATTGATAAATCGAATACCGAAATACCGAACCAAAATTCTTAAATACCGAACTGAAATACCGAATGTCCATCCCTACTCGGGGCACCCGGGCCCCGCCCAAACATACCGACAAGTTTGAAATCATGAAACGGACCTGATCGAACCTTCGGAATGCCCGAAACAACGCTAAATCTAAGAATCACCCCTTAAAACCAATTGAATCAAACTTATGAACTTCAAGTTCTTAATTCACCTCTAACAAGCCGAAACGCACTTAAACTACTCGGATTGACACCAAATTTTGCGGGCAAGTCCTAAATGTTATATTGGACCTGTACTGGGCTCCGGAACCAACATACGAGCCTGATACCAATGTGATAAATCATTATTTAGTTTCTTTAAATCCTTAGAATTTCAGTTTAACAATTTTCAATAAAAATTTATTACTCGGGCTAGGGACCTCGGAATTCGATTTCGGGCATATGCTCAGGTCCCATATTTTCCTACGGACCCTCCGAGACAGTCAAAATACAAATCCGGGTCCGTTTGCTAAAAATGTTGACCTAAGTCAAACTTAGCCCTTTTAAGAAAATCTTAAGGAATCAAGTGAGCCTATTTCAACCCAAACTCTTCCAAAACCCGAACCAACCATCCCCGCAGGTCGTAAATCAGTTAAAGCAAGCGCGGGAACTTTTATTTAGGGGAACGGGGTTCTAAAAAGCAAAACGACCGGTCGGGTCGTTACATTCTCCACCTCTTAAACAAACGTTCGTCCTCGAATGGACATAGAAAAGTACCTGAGGTGCCGAATAAGTGTGGATATCTGCTCCATATGTCCTCCTCGGACTCCCAGGTCGCCTCCTCGACTAGTTGGCCCCTCCATTGGACCTTCACCGTTGAAATCCTCTTGGATCTTAACTGGCGATCCTGTCTATCAACAACGGCAACTGGCTCCTCCTCATAACCCAAACTCCCATCCAACTGAATAGTATTGAAATCCAATACGTGGGACAAGTCGGCATGATACCTCCGGAGCATGGACACGTGGAAAACCGGATGAACTCCCGATAAGCTGGCGGATAGAGCAAGCTTGCAGGCAACCTCCCCAACTCGCCTCAACACCTCAAATGAGCCAATGAATCTTGGGCTCAACTTGCCCTTCTTCCTGGACCTCATAATACCCTTCATTGGCGAGACTTTCAAAAGGACCTTCTCGCCAACCATGAATGATACATCACGCGCCTTCTGATCCGCATAGCTCTTATGTCAGGACTGAGCAGTGCGAAGCCTTTCCTGAATCAACTTCACCTTATCCAAGGCATCTTTCACCAAGTCTCTACCGTATAACTTAGCCTCACCAGGCTCAAACCACCCGATAGGAGAACGACATCACCGCCCATATAAGGCCTCAAATGGAGCCATCTCGATGCTGGACCGGTAGCTGTTGTTGTAAGAAAACTCTGCCAAAGGCAAGAACTGATCCCACTGTCCTCCAAAGTCAATCACACATGCTCTAAGCATGTCCTCCAAGATCTGAACTGTCCACTCCGACTGCCCGTCGGTCTGTGGATGAAATGCTGTGCTAAGCTCCATGCGGGTCCCCAACTCACCCTGAACAGCTCTCCAGAAATGAGAAGTGAACTGAGGGCCTCTATCTGATATGATGGAAACAGGCACACCGTGCAATCGGACTATCTCCCGAATGTAAATCTGAGCGAATCTCTCTGAAGTGTAAGTAGTCACAACCAGTATAAAGTGTGCTGACTTGGTCAACCTATCCACGATGATCCACACTGCATCAAACTTCCGCAAGGTCCGGGGCAACCCAACTACGAAATCCATAGTAATGCGCTCCCACTTCCACTCTGATATAGGCATCTACTAAAGTAGGCCACCCGGCCTCTGGTGCTCGTACTTGACCTTCTGGCAATTCAAACACCTAGCCACATATTCCACTATGTCTTTCTTCATCCTCCGCCACCAATAATGCTGCCTCAAGTCACGATACATCTTCGTAGCACCCGGATGAATGGAATACCGCGAACAATGAGCCTTCTCCAGGATCCTCTCCCTCAGACCATCAACATTAGGAACACATAAGCGACCCTGAAGTCGTAGAACACCATCCTCACCAATAGAGACCTCCTTGGCGCTACCCTACAGCACTGTCTCTCTAAGAACCGCAAGTGGGGATCATCGAACTGTCGGGCCTTGATCTGTCCCAATAACAAAGACTGAGCAACAACACACGCAAGGATTCGGCTGGGCTCCGAAATATCCATCCTCACAAGTCTATTAGCCAAGGACTGAATGTCCAAAGCTAGTGGCCTCTCCCCTGTTGGAATGAATGCCAAGCTACCCATACTCTCTGCGTTCCTGCTTAAGGCAGTTGCGACCACATTTGCCTTGCCCCGATGATAAAGAATGGTGATGTCATAATCCTTCAGTAACGCAAGCCACCTACGCTGCCTCAAATTGAGATCCCTCTGCTTCAACAAATGCTGCAAGTTGCGATGATCAGTATAAACCTCACATGACACCCCATACAGATAATGCCTCCATATCTTGAGAGCATGAACAATAGCGGCCAACTCTAAATCGTGCACAGGATAATTCTTCTCATGAATCTTTAGTTGGCGCAAAGCATAGGCAATAACTCGCCCCTCCTGCATCAATACACACCCCAATCCAATGCGTGAAGTGTCACAATATACCGCATACATCCCCGAACAGGAAGGCAACACAAGAACTGGCGCTGTAGTCAAGGCTGTCTTGAGCTTCTGAAAGCTCGCCTCACAATCATCGGACCAATGGAACGGAGCACCCTTCTGGGTCAATCTAGTCAGAGGTGATGCAATTGATTAAAAGCCCTGCACGAATCGCCTGTAATAGCTAGCTAACCCCAGGAAGATCCTGATCTAGGTCACTGAAGTATGACGTGGCCAACTCTGAACTGCCTCAATCTTCTTGTGGTCCACCTTAATACCCTCTCCTGACACAATATGCCCCAAGAATGCCACTGAATCTAGCCAGAACTCACACTTGGAGAACTTAGCATATAGCTTCTGCTCTTGCAACGTCTGAAGCACTACCCTTAGATGCTGCTCATGCTCCCCCAGGCTACGAGAGTATATCAAGATGTCGTCAATGAAGACGATGACAAAGGAATGAATATAAGGCCTGAACACTTTGTTCATCAAGTCAATAAATGTTGTCGGGGCATTAGTCAAGCCAAAGAACATCACCAGAAACTCATAATGGCCATACCTCGTCCGAAATGTGGTCTTCGGAACATCCGAGTCCCGAATCTTCAACTGATGGTACCCCGACCTCAAGTCGATCTTAGAGAACACCCTAGCACCCTGCAACTGGTCGAGCAAATCATCAATGCGCGGCAACTGATACTTATTCTTGATGGTAGCGTTGTTCAACTGGCGGTAGTCAATGCACATCCGTATAGTCCCATCCTTCTTCTTCACAAATAACACTGGTGCGCCCCAAGGTGAAACACTGGGCCTAACAAAACCCTTTGCTAACAACTCCTCAAGCTGCTCCTTCAACTCCTTCGGAGCAATGCGGTACGGTGGGATGGATATAGGCTGGGTGCTTGGAGCCAAATCAATACAGAAATCAATATCACGATCCGGTGGCATGCCAGGAAGATTAGAAGGAAACACATTGGCGAACTCCCAAACTACTGGAACTAAATCAATCGTCGGAGACTCTACGGTGGTGTCCCGAACATAAGCCAAATACGCCAAACACCCCTTCTCGACCATTTGCCGAGCCTTCAGGAAAGAGATAACCCGGCTAGATGTATCAACTGTGGAACTCTTCCACTCCAACCCTGGCATCGCTAAAGTAAGAGTCTTAGCATGGCAATCTAGGACGGCGTGATATGGAGATAACCAATACATGCCCAGGATGATCTCAAAGTTGATCATATCAAGCAACAGGAGATCTGCTCTAGTCTCAAAACCACAGAATGTGACCACACAGGACCGTTATATCCGATCCACAACCACAGAATCGCCCACAGGAGTGGACACATGAATAGGAGTGCCCAAGGGCTTTGGAGCAATAACCAAAAAACGAGCAAACAGAGATGACACATACGAATAGGTAGACCTTGGATCAAATAATACCGAAGCATCTCTACCGCAGACGAAAATAACACCTGTGATGACCGCATCTGAGGCCAATGCATCTGGCCTAGCCAGAAAGGCGTAGAATCTGGCTGGAGCGCCGGCTGGCTGGCCTCCACCGGACTGAGCAGTAGCTGGATGAGCTCTCCCTGCCTAGCCTCCACCTCTAGGACGGTCCCTACCAGTCTGCCCTCCACCTCTAGGTGGCTGGGTAGCCGGTGCTGAAATCATAGGCTGCTGACCCTGCTGTACTACCTTGCCCCGACGCCTGGGGCAGTATCTCCTCATATGACCAAGGTCTCCGCACTCTAAACAACCCCGCGGTGTGATGACTTGCTGCCCTGATGGCTGACCCTGATAGCCTGTAGACCCACTGGATGAAGCCTGAATAGCCGGTGGATGGTATGAACTCTCCGTCATAGCACTAACATAAGAATCAGAAGAACCCTAAGGACCTGAATACCCACCGGAGGAACCCTAAATAGATGGTGGGCGGTAAGAACTCTCTGGTATGGCGCTGAAATAGGGGCGCGCTGGAGCACATCGAGTAGGTGGTGGTGCTGAATATGGGGGCCTGCTGGGCTATCCCCTCCCAAATTGACCTCTGCCCCTAGCTGGGGCACCTTTGAACTCTCCGCAGAATCTAGCCCTCTTATCCTGCTATATCTGCTCCCTACCCCTCAAATGGTAGCCCTCAATCCTCCAAGCGATCTCCACTACTAACTGATAAGGAGTCCCCATCTCCACCTCTCGAGCCATGTTGGCCTTGATGCCAGAATGCAACCCTGTAACAAACCTCCGCACCCTCTCTGTGTCAGTAGGAAGTATCATTAATGCATGGCGGGATAACTCAGAAAACCTTGCCTCATAATCGGTCACGGACATTTGACCCTGCTCAAGCTGCTCAAACTGATACTGCAGCTCTTCCCTCTCAGAGGATGGAATATATCTATCCAGAAATAACTGCGTGAACTAACTCCAAGTGATAGGAGGAGAACCTGCGGGTCTGCCAAGAACATAAGACTGCCACCATCTGCGGGCCCTGCCCTCTAGCTGAAAAGTAGTGAAGTCTACCTCATACGACTCCAATATCCTCATGTTGTGCAGTTTGTTCCTGCACCTATCAATAAAGTCCTGAGCATCTTCATGACGCTCACCCCCGAAGAGAGGAGGGTGAAGTCTAGTCCATCTATCCAACAGCTTCTGCGGGTCACCATCCGTAGCTGGTCTGGGCTCGGGTATCACTGCAGCAACTGGTTGAGCCCCATCCGCTGGTAGCACCCGGAGTCTGATACACTGCAGCTGTATGACCATGAGCCTAAGCTGTAGGGGTCTGTGTTCTCCCTCTTGCCTGTGATGTAGCTGGATCTGATAGAAATAAACCAGCCTGAATCATGGTGTCCATGAATCGTAGCATACGGCCCATAACCTCCTGGAATCCCATTGCTGTCATAAAGTCCACCGGGGTAGGCTCAGCTGCGGGCACCTCGCCCTGCTCCTCAATAATAGGGTCCCTCGCAGGATCTGCTGGTGGTGCTACTAGAACAACTCTGGGACGCCCTCGTCCCCTACCTCGGGCCGGTGCCTTCCCCCGGCCTCTAGCAACAGGGGGAGCAGCCCCTCCCGGGTCGGGAACGTCTGTCGTGCGTGTCCTCACCATCTGTGAGAGAACAGAAGAGAGAAATTTAGTGTACCATCCACTGCACGATAGGAAATGAATAATGAGTAGTTTCCTAACACCCTATAGCCTCTCGAAGATAAATAAAGACGTCTCCGTACCGAACCGCAAGACTCTATTAGGTTTTTTCCCATGACTTGTGAGACCTACGTGAACCTAGTGCTCTGATACCAGTTGTCACGATCCAATTTCACATCAGGTCGTGATGAGGCCCAACACCGTCGTCAGGCAAGCCAACGCGGATATATTAGTAAATTCTTATTTTACTTACTAAAAGCAGTTACGACACTTTCCTTAATTTGCAATTAAAACATGTAATAATAAGCAATATTCAATAATAGTTATACAACCCAAAAGAACTGTCTACTAATGTGTGTGCCAAGACCTGGTGTCACAAGCTGTGGGCAACTAGTAGAATATACTGAAATATAGATCTACCCTACTGTCTGAAACAGAATAGACAGTCAAAAGTAAGAGAAACTCCATCAAGCTGCTGGTCGGCACAGGAAGGGAAGCAACTCACCGTGGAAGTCTCGGACTAAGATCAGGGACGCGCTCCGATCTGATAGCCAGATGTACCTGCCGCAGAGCCTGTACAATTAAGTACAGAAGCGTAGTATGAGTACATAAACAATATGTACCCAGTAAGTATCCCGTCTAATCTCGAAGAAGTAGAGACGAGAGGTCGACTTGATACCTACTAGGGTCAAATAATATAATATGATGTTATGCCAGGCATGAAGGTCACAATTAGATAACAGTTGAAATAAGGATTTCTAGGTCATGTCATTTTAGTATCACAGTTAATCATTTACATTTCAAACCATTTATCAGGCAAGTCATCAATAATAATTCACATAAATATCATGCACACATTATGCTGAGGTCGACGGCCCGATCCAACAGAAAAGAAACTGTGCACTGCCAGAGGGTTGAATGCGCGAACCATAGATGCATCTATTTCTACCGAGGCGATCGGCCCGATCCACAAATATCAATTATCAACAGGAAGATACAAGAAGGCGCATTTATATTCAAATAAATCATACAAGTGCTCAACAATACATATGTTCACTTATGATCATTTCCAATTCTCTAGCATATCATAAATGATCACATTAGCAGGAAGACATATAACATTTGCAAATATAGCATGATACGGGTCCTAAACTACCCCGACGATTAACATGATAGTAGCTACGCACGGACTCTCGTCACCTAGTGCGTACGTAGCCCTCGCATTTAGTGGCAAATTATACAATTATTACTCCTATGGGGACCATTCCCTCTTACAAGGTTAGAAAGGAGAATCACCTTGCTCCAAAGTGCACTTCCAATACCAAGAACGAGCCCAAACTCTCAATTTGGAGCCGAACGATCCAAAACTAGTTAAATGGGGTAAGAACTAGTCATACAAGCTCACAAGATCACATTCCAACTATTAATGCAATTTCCCAACTGTAAACACAAGTTTCCTAAAATCCGACCCCGGGCCCACGTGCCCGGATTCCGAAATTTTTCGAAGGAAGTTGTTCTTTGTAACCTAAGGATCAATAATATATGATTTCTACTTCGCTTCATAACCAATTTCGTGGAAAAATCTAAGTTTTATCAAAACCCTAGGTTTTGCTCTTACCCCATGATTTTATCTTAGTCTTAGTGTTTAATCTACCTAAGACACAAGTATTAAACTAGGAATAGGTGGGATAAACTTACCTCAACATGCGAGGTGGAAGTCTTCTCTCAAAAGCTCCAAAATCACCCAATGGAGGAGTGAAATATGGCAAAAATAACTTAAAACCCGTATTAAATGAAGCTCACTGCTTCAGCAATTTCCGCACGTGCGGTCCTGGGCCGCACTTGCGGCCACCGCATCTGCGAAAGGGAGCCCGCTTCTGCGGAATTTCACCTGGGTTGTTAGGCCGCATCCGCGAGTTTCCAGCCGCTTTTGCGCCTTCGCTTCTGCCGAGGAATAGCCGCTTCTGCGGCTTTGGGCCTGGCCTGGCTTGGCCGCACCTGCGTGAGATGGACCGCTTCTGCGGTCTCGCACCTGCGGCTGGCCAACCGCAGGTACGGTTATGACAGCAACTGAAGCTTCAGCACTTCTCCAATTTTTCCAACTTCACTCGAGCCTCGTCCGATTGACGCTCGGGGCTCCCGGGCCCCACCCGAATATACCGACAAGTCTAAAATTATGAAACGGACCTGATCGAACCTTCGGAACGCCCAAAACAACGCTGAATCTAAGAATCACCCCCTAAAACCAATTGAATCAAACTTATGAACTTCAAGTTCTTAATTCACCTCTAACGAGCCGAAACGCACTTAAACTACTCGGATTGATACCAAATTTTGTGGGCAAGTCTTAGATATTATATTGGACCTGTACTGGGCTTCAGAACCAACATACAAGCTCGATACCAATGTGATAAATCATTATTTAGTTTCTTTAAATCCTTAAAATTTCAGTTTAACAATTTCCAATAAAACTTCATTACTCAGGCTAGGGACCTCGGAATTCGATTCCGGGCATACGCTCAGGTCCCATATTTTCCTACGGACCCTCTGAGACCATCAAAACACAAATCCGTGTCCATTTGCTAAAAATATTGACCAAAGTCAAACTTATCCCTTTTAAGAAAATCTTATGGAATCAAGTGACCCTATTTCAACCCAAACTCTTCCAAAACCCGAACCAACCATCCCCGCAGGTCGTAAATCAGTTAAAGCAAGCACGGAAAGTATTATTTTGGGGAACGGGGTTCTAAAAAGTAAAACGTAGTGTAGTCATTGTCCCATTGTCTCTGCAATTCCAAAGTACCACGACAAGACTATTAGTAAGTCTTTTAATTTACAATAGACTTCAGTATGCTCAATAATAGGTTCATAATTCTCTCAAGGAAATATTGAACGAAAACTATATTTGGATTGAATTTTATATTATTCCTCTAAATTAAGAGAGTGATGGGAAGGGGATAAAGATGATTCTTACTTTAGAAAAGAGTTAATACCCTAAAATCCCCCTAAACTATCATGTTTTTGTCAGTTTTCTACTTAAACTATTCGGTGTCTCCAATACTCCCCTGAACTATATTGCCCTTCATATTAAAACCCCTTCATTGCATTATTAGAGGTGCGCCTAGTCACGGTCCTAATTATCTAAAAAACGTGCCATGTAGCACTACACGTGCCTATTTAACTCAGCGTAAAACCCGCCTAAATTATCACTTTTTTGTCAGTTACCTATTTAATATATCTGGTGTCCCCAAAACCCCTCTGCACCATATTTCCCTATATATTAAAACCACACGTTGGACTTTTAAAGGTACGTCTGTATAACTATATTAACTTATGGATTGTACAATTTTTTTAATATAATTTGCACATGATTCTCGAATGATTGATTAATTCTAGGAGTTTTGGAAAAAATAATACCTAATGTACTCTATTAATTTTAGGTTTAATTGTGACTGTAATTTATGCTAGACTCCATTGATAAGTCCTTATTTACTTTTTAGCATAGTAAAAATATAAATAAAGGCATATAATGTTGCATTTCTTAAAAATATCTCAAATAAAAATTCAATTGGCCAGCAATTACATTCTCTAATTCCAAATTACATTAAAAAGGGTTCAAGAGATTCAACTTTATTCTCTACTAGGTATTGGGTTTAATAAGAAGATTTAAGTTTGTATTCTTTCAACAATATATGTAAGACATGAAAGAAGACTAAAACAAGAAAGAGAATAAATCATTTCAAAGAAAACAAGAGAGGGAGAAATTTTCTAAGAGGAAATGCATATGCAGAACTGAAGGAAAAAGGTTACAAAATAAAGAAGAAGGTGAAAAATAAAGGAAAATTGGTGAAAAAATGAGGAAGAAAGATTGAGAATATTTATTAAAAAAATTAATTTGAAAGAGGGTTAGGCTAATTAGTCATTATTTTCTATCCGATAGGCCATTTTGATGGCTTTTTTCAGCTGTCACGCGCTCTCAAGCAAGTATTTACACATATTATCCTGGCTCAGCAACGAGAGGGTTTTAATATTAAGGGCAACATAGTTTAGGGGGTTTTGGGGACACCGAATAATTTAAGTAGGAAACTGACAAAAATGTGATAGTTTAAAGGGGTTTTAGGGTAGTCCATTTCTCAAATGGTCACTCAACTATCCCAAATTATCTGCTAAAGTCACTTTTCTTTCATTTATAACAACAATGTCACTTAACTACGCCTAAAGCACTCTGAAGGTGTAACGACCCGGCCGGTCATTTTGAGTATCACAACCCCATTCCCCCATTTACTGCTATTTCTGAGTTATAATTTCGTGACTTGTCGGGGAGGTTTTAAATGAAATGGAACACTTAGTTCCAAGAATTAAGGCTTAAGTTGAAATATTTGCCCGAACGGAAAATTTGGTGTAAAAACCCCGGAATAGAATTGTAATGATTCCAATAGCTTCGTATGGTGTTTTGGACTTAGGAGCATGTCCGAAAAATTATTTGGAAGTCCGTAGTTAAATTAGGCTTGAAATGGCTAAAATAGAAATTTAAGTTGGGAAGTTTGATCGGGGAGTTGACTTTTTGATATCGAGGTCGAAATATAGTTCTGAAAAATTTCATAGGTCCGTTATGTCATTTATGACTTGTGTGTAAAATTTGTGGTCAATCAGACCTGATTTGATAGGTTTCAGCATCAAATGTGGAAGTTGGAATTTCTTAGTTTCATTAGGCTTGAATTGGGGTGTGATTCGTGTTTTTAGCGTTA